GAAACGATTTAATATATAAAAAACTAAAATAATATTTTAATGGTGGTTCAATTCAAAATGCCAAAATAAAATTGTTGCAAATAAAGAGGTATGCTCAATCACAAAGAAACTGCCTCACGGTTTTGATGAAGAATCAGAAACAAAATATTACTCTGAACAACTTAAACAATGCATTTCCTTTTTTAGTCCTCTTCATTTCCCTCTCATTGTCTTTGGCCTGTTTCCTCCTTTCATGCTTTTACCCACATCTTAACTATGCATATTTTACATGTGAATGAGATTATGAGTTTATGACTCTAGGAAATAAATGTACACATATATACTGTAAATTACTCCACTCCTTTCTTTATACCTTATTATTTTATACTTATGAAGAATAAGCCTTAAAATAAGAATCTGCCAAGTAGGCATTATAATATGGTTAACACATTACAAGTTATAGTTTGAATAGTAAGACTTGAGAAATTTCAGTATCTTCTTGGTGCCAAATACCAATTCTGGATTCACTGACTAATACTGGATCCAAACACATAATCATATTTAGTAAACTAACAAAGGAAGTTACCTGTGATTTCTGAATGCAAAACATGCTGAGTTGGTTATGATCACATCTTGGTGGTAAAGATCTTCAGTGATACTATAAGCAGTGAACTCTACTAAGGAATTTCAAGGAGAAATTCAGAGGTTGTTTTGCCAGTAAAAAACTGACACCAATAATGTATACTCATTCCTTCATGCAATGAAAATTTAACTTTTTCCTCTTCTGCCTAACATAGGATATACAGAGCTGAAAATGGAACTTAATCATGGTTTAGTGTTCAATGAAAGAAAATGCTATGCGTTACTCTCTATACCATCCACAATTACTAACTTGGAATGACCAAGATATTGTGATAGTTGCCTGTATTTGTTGATTACTAGAAAGCTCAGGACCTAATTTACAGTCATTGCTTGCAAATACATAAGACTTCATGAATATATTTTGTACTAACTTCCTTTGTAGTCCATTTGATTCCTTACTCTATTTTTTCTTCTGCCTGCCAATTTCAATTTAAATTTTATTATCATGTATTAATCTTTGTAAGTCATATATAGAGACCTAATCATGAATCTCCCAAATTATGTATATTCTGTAAATGTTGTCTTATAACACCTACCTCAGTTATCTTGAGTTAATTTCCCTCAGAATGGACATAAAACAACAAGGGTTATCTAGCTGTGTATCATAGAATCAATGATTTCTACATACTGAGTCAATTTCCCCCATTTTAGAAATTGTTGTCTCTCTGCCAAAATGCTGGAATGTTTTGTAGACCTCACCTTGCCATTGTAATGTAAAGCAGAGCAAGAAAAAAGACCCTCTAAATTTTTGTCTAGCACAGATTTGTGCAGAAGCAAATTAACAACAGAGATCTTTTCAGCTATGGAAAAATAGTTAAAGACAGTGGCAGAGAGAGCTCTCAGATTTAAGGGAGCATCCATTCTGGTACTAGGGTGGATCAGTACAGAATAGTAATAGATACAGAAGAAAATAAGGAAATGCATAACACTATGCAGACTCAGGAAGAGGAAGCTCCAGGCAGACTCAGGTTGAGATTTTGTATATTCTTGTGATGTAGGAGAATTAGAGATAAAAATATCCACTCTTACCATCTATCTTTTGTTTCATGATGTCAGTTTGTGTTTTTCAACTAACCTTTCTATTTAATTATTAAATCATCTGCAGCAAACACTTGCTGTCAAGACTCTGCTGTTCTGAGCAAGGAAACAACTTCTTTCAAGAATTATGCTTTCTATCAGCTATATTTAAAGTTTTCTTTTTAACTTCCTTCATAATTTTATTCATGATAGCTTTGAGAATGAATAATGATTCCTCTCTGATGTCCTACTGCACAGGGGTTTTCTCCTCTTTTCCTTTCCCCTATTTACAGCTGTTCCATTGTAGTGAACCTGATTTATAGCCCACAGTTTCATCCTCGCAATTCAAAGTTTGTGGTGCGACTGGTCTTGTAAGTTAGATACTGGCACTGTTAGAAACCTGGTATCTATGGTTGGGGATTTTGTTATGTGGTTTGTGATACATTGTATAGAACAATCTATTACATATATAGCTCCATAGATAGTGCATAGAATCTTTCAGTATGGCTCCATAGGAAAGGAAGTGGAGTAAGAGGCTGCTACAACAATCTAAAATTAGTAATGGAATCAAGAGGTTGGGTGAAGCCCAACATTGTCCCAAGTTTTAATATCTTATTGTCTACTTAATAACAAGTTTATTAAATATTGTAAGGAAAAAACCTTGCAACCCCATTGCTTTTCTTTTAATTCTTTGTTTACAGGAAAAACTCTCCATCTGATATGCTGTAAGGGAATGGCTCACATTGATCAATGTAATCTGTGCATGTTTATCAACATTCAGTAAATGCCCAGCCAGAGTCGGCTGACAGATGGACTCTGGCATCTCTCTCACACCTGGAGACTCCTGCCCAGATATTCACTGTTCAGTTTTGTTCTGCCAAGAGGGATGTTACAGAAGTGACTTCAGTGAATTAAAACATTTGGAGTCAGGCTGTAGATCTCC